GCATCCACGTGTGCTGGGGCAACTACGCCGGCCCGCACCACCACGACATCGCCGCGGCCGAGATCTGGCCGGTGGTCGCCAAGGTCAAGGCGAAGTTCATCCTCACCGAGGCGGCCAACCCGCGGCACGCGCAGGACGCCAAGGCCTTTGAGGACGCGTGCGCGCGCGGCCTCTTCGAGGCGCCAAAGGTGATCGTCCCCGGCGTGATCGACACGACCGCCGCGCGGGTCGAGCACCCCGCCCTCGTCGCCGAGCGGCTGCTCCGCTTCGTCAAGGCGGTTGGTCACCCGTCGCGCGTTATCGCCGGCACGGACTGCGGGATGGCGACCACCGCAAAGTCGTCCGCCATCACGTCCGACATCGCGTGGCTCAAGCTCGAGGCGCTCGTCGAGGGCGCCGCGCTCGCCACCAAGATGCTCCTCGAGGTGTCTGCGCCCGTCCCGATGCCCGGGCCCAAGCTCAACCCGACGCCCTTCCGCGCCGCCGTCATCTGCGACGCGGCGAGCGCCGCGCCGTCGGAGCTCGTCGCCGAGCTGCAGCGGCGCACCTCCTCCACCGACCTCTTCGGCGCGTCGGCGGGCAAGGGCGTCGAGGCGACGGCGGTGGAGGCCTTCGAGAAGCTCCGCTGGGCGGTCGACTTCCCGCTCGCCGTCGTGGCCGTCGGGCCGATGGCGCAGTCGGCGGCGGTGCGGCTCGCGGCGCTGCTGCGCCAGGCGTCCTCGGGCGCCTCGCGCCGGCCGTGCGAGCTCTTCTTCGCCGGCGAGGCCGCGGCGAGCCCGTCCGGCGTGAACGCCGTCAAGGGGTCGCCGCCCGCGATGGCGACCGCCATCTCGACCGCCATGCTCGCAAACACGGGCTTCGACAAGCGCGCGCTGCTGCACGGCCGCAACGCCAAGCCGCTCCCCGAGGAGGTGGACGTCGTGGTGATCGGCGCCGGCCTGCTCGGCCTTATGGCGGCCGCGCGCCTAAAGAAGAACGGCCACAAGGTCGCCGTGCTCGAGCAGCGCTCCATCGTCGGCGGGATCTGGTCCATGTACGCCAACTCGACGTCGCAGGTCAACTCGTCCGAGGGCGGCTACAACATCAAGGACCTGCTGCCCGAGGGGAGCCCGCGCAAGGCGGCGGACAACCGCGACCACTCGACCGCGGCCGAGATCCTCAAGGACATCGCCGCCCTCGGCGACTCGCTCGCCGACGTCATCTACACGCGCGTGAGCGTCGCAAAGGTGCTCGGCACCAACGGCGACTACACGACCGTCGTCTCGGACCTCAACGCGGGCGACGAGGGCGCCGCCGCCGTCGTCCGCTCGACCGGCGTCGTGCTCGCCATCAACGACCGCGTCGGCCTGCCGCGCCCGCTGCGCGTGCCGGGCATGAACCGCTTCAGCGGTGTCATGGCGGACGGCACCTCGGACGCGCTGTCCGGCGTCTCGTGGCAGGGCAAGCGCGTCGTCGTCTTCGGCATGGGCGCCTTCGCCGTCGAGAACGTGCGCACGGCGCTCGAGAGCGGCGCCTCGCACGTGACCGTCGTCGCGCGCCGCCTCGGCACCATCTGCCCAAAGATGATCGACTACCTCAACTTCGTCAAGCCGTGGGACGAGCAGTACCGCCACGACCCGCTCACAAACATCAAGCAGATGAAGTGCTGGCGCGACTGCTACATCAAGTCGGGCGCGGTGGCGCCCGAGGTGTGGCCCGGCAAGGTGAAGCACGACGGCCACACCATCAGCGTGAGCGACATCTGGTTCGTCGCCCACCACCTCGGCAAGATGTGCACCAAGGTGGGCACGCTCGAGTCGATGGTCGAGGGCGGCTGCGTCCTCTCGGACGGCTCCTTCCTCCCGGCCGACATCGTGCGCCCTCCCCTTGCCCCACCCGCCCGCCGACGCCGCCGCGGGCTCCGCCCCATCCTCGCACCCTCACCGCCGCCGCCGCCCACGCCGCGCAGGTGGTTGGCTGCATCGGCTTCACGCGCAACACGACCTTCTGCGAGCAGCTCACCGGCCGGACCGTTGTGATGCACTCAAACTACCTCGACAAGAACATGATGTACCTCGCCGACGCCGAGATCGACGAGACGGCCTTCAACTCCTTCTTCGGCTCCTCCGTGCTCGAGTACGCAAAGTTCTACACCAACACCTACGTCCAGGCCTTCGAGCGGCCCGACGCGCTCGGCTCCATCCTGTGGGGGGCCGCCGTGAAGCGCACGCCCGTCTCGCTGCGCAAGTGGACGCAGTACATCGCCGTCGCTCAGGAGCTCATCGAGAAGGACACCACGATGCGCGGCCTCGCGGCCGACCAGGTCCGCGAGCGGACGAAGCACTTCTACCGCACCATGTCGCCCGAGGCCTTCCTCGAGGTGCGAGCACCGCACTGGCGCCCCGCTGCCAGCCACGCCGCGTTTTCACACCTTGGCCCTGCTCGCATAGGTCAACCGCCTCGAGTGGGAGGAGCTGCACGAGCGGCTCAACGGCAGCCCGGTCAGCAAGGACAAGCAGCTGCCCTACCTCTTCGGCGCGGCGCCCTCGTGGTGCGCGCCGGCGAACGAGGTGCTCCCGTGAGTGGCTCAGAGGCCCTCGGAGTGGTCCCACGCCAGAGCGCCAGCCGGTCGGAGCGACTTTGGCGCTCAGCGCTCTTGTACCATGAGTACGGTACGCGGACTCTCGTTAGTACGTACCCTCCAAGTGTTCGAATGAGATTGGAGATTGGGGGCTTTTGCCGAGGGAGAGAAAGAGAGAGAGCGAGTCGGGACGTGTGTCGCTGTCGGGAGAGACGGGCCGCGCGGCGAGGGCGACGTGTCAGATATCAGCTACGCCCCCTCCGGCTCCGCGCGGCGTGCTCCAGTTCAGTCCAGATCGATACTCACTCAAGTCTATGTAGGTTGCAGCTAAACGCGATCTATCCATGATCCCGTGGGGGCTGCGGGGGAATCTGGTATCTAGCGCGTGTGGCGCTAGCATCGGCCGCCCATCGCCGCACGCGGCCTCCTCCTGCCGCTCGTCATCCTCCGCCTCGAGGGCGTCCGCCAGCGCGCTGCGCTGCACACCCCGGCGCACAGGAGGCGGCGCCGGCCGCACCTCGGCCGCCTCGGCGTCGCCCGCGGCACGGGCGCCCCGCTCGCCGTCCGCGCGGTCCATCGCCGCATCCCCATCCCCGTCTGCGGCGGCGCCTCCTGCGCCCGTGCCGGCCTGCTCTGGGACGGCTCGCCACCGCTCGTCGTCCAGCATGTGCCACCACCGCCGATCCGAGTAGCCGTCGTACTCGACCTCGTGCACGATCCGTCCGTCCCGGTCCTCCTCCCGCGCCATGACGGTCGCAGGGTACCACCGCTCGCTGTCGCAGAAGATCTCGAGGCGCGATCCGGTGGACAGGACAGTGTGGCCGTCGAGCGCCGCCCTGGCATCCTCGCGCTTTCGCTTCCGCCGCTTCGCCTTCGTCTCCTTGCTGCGCAGCAGAGTGTAGTTCGGGCCCACCTCCGCCACGCTGTCCAGCACGTGGACGGCGCTCGCCATCTCGACCGCGGCGTCGTCCGGCGGAAGCTCCGCGTCACCCGCGGCCGCTTCCCGAGCGCGCTCGTCGCGCATCCGCTCGTGGTGGGCCTGCCGACGCGCCACGCCGTCGCCCGTGTGCCTCGCCGCCGCGTCCGGCGACGGCATCAGTGCTGTCCGCCCGAGCGTGACTCGCCACTCCACGACCTCCACGACCTCCACGACCGCCGAAAAGCACGACCGCCCAAATCTCGAACACATCTCGAGTCCTCTCACTAGTTACATACATATTTCTGCGCGGTCTGGCACACGATGTGCGCGGTGTTTGTGACGTTGATGTGCCCGCCTTCTCCAAAAGCAAAACACCTCTCCGAGACGCTCCCCATCCACCTCCCCGGCTCCGAGAGGCGACCCGGGCGCCCTGCGACCATCTTCTTCTCGAGGCCCTACATCCCTACTACTATCTTACAACAGTACGTCAGTGACACAGGATACAAAGACTCCTCACAGCGATCGCGCAACGTCAAGTGGCTCACGCATCGTCAAGCTACAAACAAAGACTCCTCACAGCGATCGCCACCAACCTCGTTGCGGCACGAGCCCACCCGGTAGCGCCCTCGCCCCTCGAACCCCTCGCGCAAGCTCTTGACGGTGGGCGCCGCGCCTTCTCGGAGGGAGAGCACCAGAACCGAGTCGAAGTCGACGTCGCTCCAGCAGCGCCTGCAGAGATGGGAGGCGCAGCCGAGCTCCTGGAGCAGCCACGGGACCTGGCAGTGGTCCCAGCTGAGGAGGATCACCGAGCCAGGCGGGTGCTGCCGAGAGGCCAGCGCAGCCGCAAGCGCAGGCACCTCCTCCTTGGCCAGCGTGGCATTGACTCGCAGCCCAAAGCGCTGTGCAGTCGGCCAGAGCATCCAGAGGTCGCGATCTGCATAGTCCGGTTCAGCCTCAGCGGGCCGCCGGGCGAAGATATGCGTCGGCGGCGGCAGCGTACTACCGAACAGCTGGGCGAGGAAAGCGCCGTGCTCATAGCCGCGTGCCGTGCAGAAGCCTGGCGCAGTCGCGTTGGCCACCTTGTCGCAGTGTCGCACGACGATGAGCTGCGTCGTAGCTGCCGCCTCGGTCATGTACCACGGCGTCATGGGTGCCGGTTCACCCGCACCCTCGAGCGTGGTGCGGGCGAGGGCGCCCAAGGCAGTGGCCGCCACGATGGCGGTGGCGCTGCTGATCGCGGCCAGGCAGGCGAGCGTCGACCCGCTGCAGCGGCGAGGAGCAATCGCGCTGACGTCAGCGAGGCTTGGTCCGCTGCGTGCACGGTCGTGAAGGAATGGCTCTCGCATCGGAGGCCGCAGTGCAAACAAACCCCTGCGTGTAGTCCCCCCCCATCCCCAGGGCCTCCAGGGCTCGCACCTCAACCTCTCACAGGCCAGCGCACAGCGCCATAGGAGGTATTTTCTTCTCAATAACAAGGCTGAGAACACAGGCGAGAGATTTTTCTCTCGACGTTTCTTCTGCGAAGAAACGTTCAAAACACTCGGTGTCGAAACACCTCTCCGACGCGCTCGACTATAGTCTCCGGTATGCGCTGCGCTACCGTGCCCACAGTTTGCCCCGCCCCCCGCCCCGATGTGTGCAAAAAGGTTCGGACGGAGATCGACAGTCGGATTCAGGCAACGTTCGCCCCCGAGTCCCAGGGAAGCTAGCGCGACGCGCCTCCCTTCACACTACCGCGCCCGCTCCCGGCGGCCACGCCTCGATCTTCTTGGGCAGCAGCTGGTTCGCCAGGTTCTCTCCGTGGCCTAGGCAGCTGTGCACTCCCTCACCCCATGCAAAGACGGCGCCGTCGGCGGTGAGGGCGATGCTGTGGCGATCTCCCGATGACACAGCGACGACGCGGTGGCCGGGCAAGGCCTCGACCTTCATGGGCAGGAGCTGGAGCTGCTGGTCGCCGTGGCCCAATCGGCCATGGTCTCCATCGCCCCAGCTCCAGACAGCGCCGTCGGCGGTGAGGGCGAGGCTATGGAAGTATCCCGCCGACACAGCGACGACGCGCCGGCCAGCCAAGGCCTCGATCTTCTTCGGCAGCAGCTGGTTCGACATGTACATGTCCTCGCCTTGGCCTAGCCGGCCAGAAACTCCAAAGCCCCAGCTCCAGACGGCGCCGTCGGCGGTGAGGGCGAGGCTGCACGCCCCTCCAGCCGACACAGCGACGACGAGCTGGTCAGCGAAGGCCTCAACCTTCTTCGGCAGCAGCTGGCCCTGCTGGTCGCCGTGGCCCAACTGGCCAAAGCCTCCGTCGCCCCAGCTCCAGACGGCGGCGTCGGCAGTTAGGGCGAGGCTGTGGCACTCTGCAGCCGACACGCTCACAGCACGGAGAGGAGAGGGGAGGAGGGTCGGCGTGTTGAGCCGCGTCACGCCCTCGCCGTGCCCGAGCAGTCCTGGAAGGTAGGGCGCCCCTGAACCGCACGACGACAGCCGCCCCTCGCCGTCGATGAAGAGGCTGTGCCGTTCGCTTCCCGCCGCCCTCGCCGGCGGGTTGGACTCGTGCAGGAGCGCAGCCAAGCACAGCCACTGCACGACGCAACGCTCGCCCTCTGGCTGCGCCGGCAGCTCGAAGCCGCGCTCCTGCGCCCACAAGCGGATGCCCTCCTCTGCAAGCGAGGCGTGAAAGAGCAGCGAGACGGGCGCGACGCGAGCGATGTCGGCGGGGCTGTCGCAGCGAGAGAGGACGCGCTCGAGGAGCTCCCTGGGGAGGTCGAGGAGCCGGGCGGGCGGCGGCGTGTCTGGCGAGGGCGCGGCGGCGGCGGCGGAGGAGGCGAGGCGGCACACAACGGGGCGGACATCGCGTGAAAAGAATTTTTCCGGTTTTGCTCCAAGTGTGCCCGCTCAGAGGGACACCACGAAAGCATTTCATGAGATGTCCCGTGCAGGTGAATGAACTTCTTTCTTGCTACAACCTCGAGCTACAACCACCCTACAGCCTCACCGCTTTCGAACCAAAAAGTGATCGACCACCCTCGCCTGCAGCTCGGCAGTCAGCCCGCGCCGCCGCCGCCGCCGAGCCTCACGCGCCGACCTCTGCTCGATCCAGCGGCTCGGGTTGCGCCAACGATAGGCGGGCCGCTCGGGGCCGCCGCCGCCCGCCCCTCCCGCCTGAGCCTCCGCCTCGGCCTCGGCCTCCTCCGCCTCCTGGACGTGGTTCCCGTCGAGCACCCACCGCGAGGTGTCAAGTGTTTCCTCTTGTTGTTGTCCGGTGTGCGCGGGCTGCTCATGCTCATGAGGGGGCGATCGAGCAGCCTACGCCGCGCCGCGTGTACCCTTGTGGCCTGCGGCTACTCCCGGTGTAGCGGAGGACAACCCGCACCCGTTGCTGATATAATATGTGCGCCGATTGGGCGTGGCACTTGGAAGTCAGCCAGTTTTTCTCCTTTCTCCCCCGCGGCGGTTTCAGCGCTGGCCTGCAGCTTTTGCACCCGCCAGCCGGCGACGCGCCCCATCCGCTGCTGCCATGGGCATGCTCTACACTGGCGCGATGGACAAGGGTCAGATGCACGGCAAGGGCAGTCTTGTCTACCAAAACAACGAAAAGTACGAGGGGGACTTTGAGCACGGTACCACGTACCACGCAGCTCACGGCGCCGGCCCGGCGCTAGACCTGGGTCACTGACGCCACGTCTGGCCGTACGCAGGCAAGCGGCACGGGTACGGCGTGTACTCTTACTCCGACGGAGGACGGTTCGAGGGCGAGTGGGTGGATGATCGTGTGCACGGCCGTGGAGTCTCCATCTACGCGTCTGGCAACCGGTGCGATGCAGCTGCAAGCACACGGCTCGGCGGTCGCCCGAATTGCGTCGCAGCTGCACACACACACACACACACACACACACACACACACACACACACACACACACACACACACACACACACACACACACACACACACACACACACACACACACACACACACACACACACACACACACACACACACACACACACACACACACACACACACACACACACACACACACACACCACACACACTGGCTGCCGCCGCCGCCGACCCCACGCACCCGACGCTCTCTCCCGCGTCTCTCTAGTCCGGCGGGAAGCTCCTCCTCGCCCTGCCACCCGCAGGTACGAGGGCGAGTGGGTCGACGGCCGGATCAGCGGGCAAGGGCGCGCAAACATCGCCCCTCCGCGCCACCGCACGCCCCCTCCCTCTCCACCGCCTCCGCCTCCGCAGCGCGTGCGTAGCAGCGGTGGGCACTGACGGCTCTCCTCCTCCTCCCGCCCACACCTCTCCTCTCCCGACAACCGCTCCTCCCGCCGACTCCTCCCGCCGACTCTCCTGCCGAGCCCGCGGCTGACGCCACCTCCTTCGAGCAGGACGCTGTGGTATGCAGACGGCGACCGCTACCAGGAGCGCCTCCGCCAACCCACCCACCGCCAACCCGCCCACCCTCCACCAACCCGCCAACCCCATCCCGCCCACCCACCGCTATCCCGCCCACCCACGCACGGACACACGCCAGGCCGGCAGCACCGCGCCCGACGCCGCACCCTCCCCCGCCTCTCCTGCCCCATCCTCCTCCCCCCTCCCCGCCCCCCTCCAACCGCCCGCCCGGCCGCCGCCGGCAGGGCGAGTGGCGAGACGGAAAGATGCACGGCCAGGGCACCTACACGTATGCGGACGGCGACCGGTACGAAGGCGTGCCACGCGCCACGCGCACTGCACGCCATGCCACACACACACACACACACACACACACACACGCACATGCACACACACACACACACACACGCACACACACACACACGCACACACACACCATGCCACACACGACCCATCCCCATGCGCCACACACGCCCATCCCACGCACGCGCCCGCGGCAGCAGAGGCCGAGAGTAGAGGTGCGCCACTGACGCGCGCCTGCGCCGCCACAGGCGACTGGAAGGACGACCGGAGGCACGGCAAGGGTGCGCCCGCCCCGCACGCATGCGGCGGCCCGAGGGTCGGAGGCCCGAGGGTCGGAGGTCGGGTGCGAGACACGTCCCTGACGCGTCCACGCGCAGGCACCGTCACGTACGCAGCGCCCGAGGGCGGCGTCGCCGAGAAGCGCCGCCGCGCAGTGCGGGGCCTGTCGCCTCGCGCGCGCGCCTTTGACGCCGTAGCCGTCTCTGCGCGTAGGTACGAGGGGGATTGGGCGGAGGGGAGGATGCAAGGGTGCGCTGTGGCCTGAGGAGCCGTGAGGCGGCGGGGCGGCGGGGAGGCTTCAGTGCGCTTCGCCACGCTGCGGCCTGTAGGCACGGGGAGTAGGTATTATATTACTAGTACTATCATTACTATTATCGCGGCCTGTAGGTACGGAAAGGTAGTTATCATCATCATCATCATCATCATTGTTGTTACGGCCGGTAGGTACGGAAAGTACTTCTACGCCGACGGGGGCGCATACGAGGGTCGAGCTGGCGTGGCGGCGGGGGAAACGGCGCGTGAGAGGTGAGACGTCAGAGGACGTGGCTGTGAGCAGGCGAGCGGGCTTGGCAGAGAGCCCGTCGGGCTGTGCCGTGACGTGTCCGTGACGTGTCCTGGACATGTCTCTCAGGCGAGTGGGCGGATGGCAAGATGCACGGCAGGTGCTTCCTCCCCTCCTCCACCCCTCCCCGCCTCTCCTCCCCGCCTCTCCTCCCCGCTTCCTCCCCTCCCCCCCCTCCCCTCCCCCTCCCCTCCCCGCCTCCCTTCCTGCCGTCGCTCTGCGCACCTCCGCCGCCCGCCCCGGCCGCTGGTCCGCAGGGGCGTCTACACCTTC